GTTCCGAAGATGAACGAAGGTCTTACGGGTTTTGAACGACATGAGGGTGAGTAATTAATGACAGAATTTTAATTTTTTTGGGTGAACTAACCCTTTAAGCCCAAAATCAGTTTTTTTCTTTGGACTGTATCTTTGTTTGCACATTTCAGACATTAAGTGTGTATGGTAAGACAGGGGAAGGTGCGCCTCGTAAGAACAATGTGCATTTACTTTTAAATTGTAACATATTTAGATCAAGTTTAATGATTAAGCAAATGACTTTGGATATCATTCTTATTAAAATATAAAATACTCAATACTCATTTTATTTGACAATTTAGTGAAGTAATTGAATAAAAGAATAAAAGATGACAGGAAAGGCAGAATCCCAGTAACAGATTGATGTATATGTATATATATATGTGTGTGTGTGTATAGATATATATATATATATATATATATATATATATATATATATCAACACTGAATTCAAAAGGATTGTTTTCACTCAGTTAGCTCAAAATACGTCGCTATTTTTCAGAGACACAAAATTAGATTAACCTAAACAAAATGTAATGCTGTGGTACACAGGAAAGGAGTTTCTATGGTATTTGCAAACAGTGATTTTATTAACATTTATTGACCTAACCACCTTACTTAATGCTGTCCTCATTGCTTAACATTGCCAACAATACAAGAAATTTGTGTAACACTTCATTTTAAGGTGTCCTTGTTACACATGTTACATGCACTTACTATTATAATAACAATAAATTATGCATAATTACATGCAAGTAACCCTAAGGCAAACACTATTCCTAACCCTAACCGTATAGGAAGTACAGTTAATTAATATTACTCGGTACTTAAATGTATAATTACACTGTAACAACAATGACACCTTAAAATAAAGTGTTTCCAAAAATTGTTGTCACGGTTGTTAGTACAAGTCAAAGAACAATGCAACATGGCAGGTGTAGAATGTTCAGGAATGTATTACTACACACCTGCAATGTTCTTCAGAAGTCAAGAATTCATTTTTTCATCATATTCAGTGCATGCCATAAAGGTACATGAATTCGTACACAGCCATTGACTCGAATACACCTCATTTGGGTGTGAAGTCATGAGTTAAATTTCTTGCATGATGAAAGTGACTTTGAGTCACACTTTTGCCGTGGAACCTCAAAATTCAAATCGTGCCACTTGTTTTCTATGGCTATTACATCATGGAGCGTGCCAAGACCATCAATCCCGTTGACTGCTTACAGAAGGTTAACATGTCATCTAGCATAATGCTTGTGTTACGGGGCGAACGAGACATGAGACTTGCGGATCCATTTGCATGCTTCAGCACTCGTCCCTTTAGTGGGCGTCTCACACTTTGCACCAATCCAGCAAAGCCTGAGATGTCAGTGCTGATAACAAACAGCCATAACCGCAAAAACTGTTCTCAGCAAAAATCATCACTCGACTTAGGGCTTAAACTGTGAGCGTGTAAATCACCTGCACCTTTGCATATATATATTTCTCTCTCATAAAAGTGCACTTGAGCACTGCTGACAATCAAAACTATCTAAGCTTTTCTAATGATCTCATTCCTCCCATGGTTCAATTCAAGCTCCAGCTCCAGATGAACTTGGATCTACATGCATTGAACAACTGCCTGGTGTGTAAATTGTGGATGTTTAAGTCGCAAGCATTCAGCTTAGATGTTTAGATGATATGATCCCTTAAGATCATGACCTTTACACATTACTGTGCTCTGAAAATCACATCTATACAGTTCTCGGCGGTGCGGCATGCTTTGATGCCTGTCAGCTGAGAAATGCACTCGCCTGCCTTCAAGTGCAGTGATGACACACACAGACACAGACAAAGTGCTCAGACCACTCGAGCACTCAATGTCAGGAACTGACCTTGGCTGTACATTTGAAAAACACATTCCATACAAAACCGAGTCCTATAGTTTTCTGCTGGCCACACGATTATCCAGTGATATGGGATTGGTTTCCTTTTTTAAAAAAATGAAACAATATACGGGCATCTGCTCTTCTTTGTGTCACTTCTGGTCAGAGCAGCGGAGTTGCTTCAGGTTCAGACCCACAGACATCTGCAGCATCTTGCCAGCTTCTATTGAAAGAATCTATTGAAGCAGATATCAAAGACAAAAAAGACAAGCAATGCCATCTAAAAGCTTTTTTCAAAACATTCTGGCTTGTATTGGAAAATAAGCTGAAGGATTTACACCTTTTTTTCTCTGTTTTTCTGCATTTTGAGGTCTGCTTTGCAGATTGTTGCAATGAATTCTGGGAAGACAGGGGCAGCGTGCGTGCTTCTAAATACAGAAAGAATGAAGAATGTTTTAAGCTCAGTAGATCAAATTCAGAAATGTCATTTGATTAGCTGTTTAGACATTTTTTGTCTAAATATTTTCACTCATCTGGCAACACTTTAAAGACTTAGGCTCTTGCAACACAATGAACGGTAAAAACATCTTGAGTCTGAAACTTGTGCCTATACGAGAAGTCAAGGTTAAGCAACCGTTTTATTATTATATTATATTATATTATATTATATTATATATTAAGCAGTCCAAATGTAGAGAAGAAAGTAGGATAATTATGTTGAGTAATGCTGAATCTGATTCACCCATCTCAAAGATTACCAAAAACCTACCAGATATAAGATTATAAAATAACACACCAATAATATGTGTGAAAAAGAACTGTCCTTGTCCTGTAAGAAATTCTTATGAAGAAACAGGTAATGTGTTTGGTAATGAGCGCAGATTGGTCAGTATTCTGAGAGTGACTGGTCATTATCTGATCTCAGCATGTAAGGCTTTTTTATTATTGTTTCATGGAATTTTTTGGACAATCTTGGATGATAAGTGGAGTATCTCAGTGCGTCTCACCACTAACCTTTTACTTGAGGCTCATTGATGCCTGATTGACATGGAAGGATGGTGTACATTTCAGTGGTGAGACTTAAAGAGGGCCAGACTTGTGATCTCTTTCCCAGATCGGCCTTCTGTCTCCCTGTTCTTGATATGGATTTGCAATTTGTAAATTATTTCTGAATTTATAGGTCTAATTATTTTGCAGCGATATTCTAGATGCAAAATGTTGGCATTTGGTTCCTTACTGTTTATCTGGTTTTCACTGCTTTGAAAATAGTAGCATTTTGCTGCAATTGTAGCGTGCTTATTGTAATTTTATAAAATAGTTACTGAATGAATTCATATAGTTTTAATCTTTATTCTTGTTGAGTGCCGGTTATATGCAGCAATTTCCGGATAAATTTCTCTCATATTACCACTTGATTACAATAATATTTGTAGAAAATTCTCATGTCTAAAAAAGAGGCCCTGGACAGTGCTTGTACTTAGATGGAAGCGCTTTAGTTGGTCAGACTCAGAGACAGGTCTCCTATACCAAAGGTTAGACGCAAAGGCATATCTCTTATGCCAAAGATGTAGCAAACTTTCCATAACATCATTCATTTACATATAGATTTCACCGTGATTGATAAGCAGAGTGGATAATGACAGCATCAGTCTATCAGCTGTTGCTTTATGTAAGGCAACCCTGTGCGATCAATCAGCAGATACTTCATAAATCTGTGCACAATTCGCTCGCTTCCATTTCTTTAATTTGAGAAGACTTTACATTTTCTGAAGGATTAATTTCATTGGATTATCTCATAGCGTTTTCATAGGATTATTATTCAAGTGAGTGAAGAGTTTCTCCCTATTAGAGTGAACAGGGAGAGGTCTGCTCCAATGACCTAGAGCCACATGCCATGTAGCTGCAGGGTTATGCAGGTATTTCAACCATGTAGGTGTTTAAATCAAAGTCGAGCCCGGTCTAGGGGAGGGCTGGAGGGCTTGTTGTGAGACTAAGTTAGGTGGGGAGGGGATGTCTTTGAAATATGGTTGGGAGAGTGCATGTTATCTTTTCTCCTCGCCATTAGACGTCCAGGTTTGGTGTGTCATTGGTTGCAGCCCAGAGCTGGCACCAGCTCAAAGGGGATGTTGAGACATGCAATCCATATGGTGGCACTATAAAATCTAGCACAGACCACAACCGAAGACCAAGATCTGTTCAGGACGCCGGCATAGCATCAATTCGAAAACCACCTTTCCCGCATTGCCTGAGGATTTTTGCTCTCCAAGACGCCCGGGGGACCAGGACCAGTTGCTTTAAGGGGTGAGTGTTGATCACTTAAAGTTGATCACTTCTAATTTCACTGGTGGTGACAGATTAAATCATTAAACGAATTTAAAGCAGTGTCTTTTCAAAACATGGGCCTTTCATGATAAAAATGAAGGTGTTGCTTTAAATCGTTTTTGGAGTTTCATCGCAGACTGTTCCATTTGGCCTTTTTAGGGAGGTCCTGTCGGATTTGATATGAATATTCTGTGTCATGTCATGTTCCTGCTTCTGCTGGGAGTCATTTCTTGTCAGAACAACAATCGCAATGCCAAGTCAGGTGGAAAACCTGCAAAGAAGCCTAACAGCCAGGCTAAAGAGACAACCCAGCATGGCCCTGAAGATGACCCAAACCCTGCGCTAGCAGGTGCTGGTGATTCCAGTAAAGAAACTAACTCTGGAGGTCGTGGCACCGCCCAACAAAGCGCATCTGTCAACAAGCCTGTTGATGAAATGAAGCTGCACTTTCTTAAGAACACATTAGTGACATGCAATGATGGTACTGCTGCTGGGTAAGACACAGCACTGACATCCTCACTGCTAGCCAGAGGTGCATAAACTTGGCAATTTGTAGAGCAACAAGGTCATGGGTTTGATTCCCAGAGGATACAGTAACTGGTAATATTTAAACGTTCAATGTCATCCATATCTTCCAAATCATAAATGTACAAAATTGTTGCAATGTTAAGTTAAATATCGGTCCTTTGACAGTTTTGTAAATGTCCTCATATGGCTATGTCCCCTAGACCATCTATATTTATTTGTGGCCTCCAGGTTTTACCTAAAGGAGTTCAGCGGAAGTAAGAGATGGCTGATATTTTTGGAAGGTGAGTATTTAAAACGAAGTTAATTTTGTCGAGAGAGGTCAGCAGGCTTAAATGCAGTGCTCAGCGTTATTTTGACGGCTGGTCATCTTCTTAGACATGTCATTTTTCTTGCTTTTTTGGAGCATGTCACATCACGTTGGTTCACCAGTATGTCGAGAACATATATAGTGTCACTGGTCAAGAAAAGTAACACGCGATGTTGAATTAGACATGGCAAAATTAAACAATGCAAGAGGGAGAACAAGGTGTAAACGCATAAAGCATGCAATGTCTTTCTCTTTACTTGGAAAGTCTTGCCAAGAGGAAGCAACTTTAAATGGAGGGGGAAAGTCTAGCAAACTTACTTTACATGCAAGCCTGCCAAGGAGGCAAAACAAGTTCTGAGGATTCCTCCAATGTTAGCAACATGTTTTGTTGGTTATCCCAATGCATTTCTTGAAGCCATTTGATATTCAGAACAATATTTGTAGTTCACTGATTTGACAAGCTAGATTTTGGGGGCTGAGGTAATATTTTGGGACTGGATTGACTGCAGTTATTTTTTCTTTTCATTAGTGCTGGGGGAACAGGTGTGCTGCTGAACATTGATAAGGTGTCCAGTCTCCTGGAGCAGTTGGGGGCTGATGCTCAGGTGCGTGGCCTTGTCGACTCAGGCTGGTTTCTGGAGAGTAAACAGCAAAAAGCTCCTGATTGTCCAGACAGTGCCTCCTGCACCCCTGTGGATGCCATAAAAAAAGGAATTCGGTAAAGTGACCCATTTAAATAGGACTTCAGTACTTTATATTTAATTTCATAATTATTTCAACTGTAGTTGAAATATGGTTAAAGTGTACTGCTGAATGTAATGACAAGCATTTATGGTATATACCTTAAACTAAAATATAGTTTAATGTAATTTCTATGTCATTTGTATTGAAATATATTTGTAATTACACATTTGAAATGATGAAGTTTAAAATGTAAATATTAACTTTAAATGTAATATTGAATTACACACTGCATTTGAAATTCTAATCAAGTACTTTATGTGTGCTTTAATAAGGTTAGTATATCAAAATAAGTACTTTTTTATTTTATTAAAAAATATGCTTTTTTAAAACATGATAAAAGTCAAATGTAACATTATTATAAAGTGCATTTTTTTGAAGTGTACTTAAGGTCTGTAAACAAACAAAGTTGTGGATGTGTATATCTTTAAGTTTATTAATTGGCCCTATATTTCATCTGTAAGAACAGATTTTTAAAAATGTACTTTTGAGATTTGATCTACACTACAAGTGCACATTCAATACAATAAAAATCACAAGGGATAAAAAAAGTTTCAAAACATTTTGTGTGTTTTCTTTTTAAAGCCAGCTTCAATGTTACTATTGCTTATACTTCGGATTTGGTATTTGTATATATCAGTGTATAACTCATCCTACACATTTTTCCTGTAGACATAAATGAATTCTCAAAATGTGCTGCTTCATTGATATCAGGTTTTGGTGATATTATGTCTCTTTTAGGTTGTGGAGTGGTGTTGTTCCAGAAAAGTGCAAGCAGCAGTATAAAAGAGGCGAGGAATGGCAATGCTTTTTTGGACACAAACTGTACTCATACATAACCGGTGAGGGTGTGCCATCTGTTTGATATGAATGAAAACATCTTTACAGAAGTGGTTAATGTTAATAAGACTTACTTCTTAAAATAACAGAGGATATATCCCTTTTTAGCTCCATTGTTCGTAGTGCAGTGGTTGTTTGATGAGGAACAGTTACGAGTGGAGAACATTTATATGGGCGGGCAATCGCTCTCAGAGCAGCAGTGGACCTACATGCAGAACCTGGGAAAAGAGTTTAAAAACTCTCTCAAAGATGTCACGTGAGTGCATTACTGACATATTATACTAGTATATCACTTAAACTACCTAAATAGTTACTAATAGTTGAACAATCACGTCAAGATCATGTCATGAAAAGTATTTTTATATATAAATTAATATAATATATATGTTCTGCTGTATGTTGTTTTAGGGCCGTGTTCGCCCCCTCCTGTCTTTCCCACACTTTGATTACCAAAAGGTAAGGACACGCAGGCACCCTGAGACACACTCCTCACGGGTGAGCTCATACGCCTGCATTTGAGCACTCGTCCATCATGATGCATTCTAAGTGTCACCAAAATGCCACCTCATGGTTTCACACTTAATTAATGGCCCGCTGTATGAGCTCAGCTGAGAGAGCAGTGGGGCAGGTGATTTGTGAGGTGAAACACAACCATGGCGAAACACATGATGAGGTCAAACTTACAGCAGAGCTGTAGCTGCATATAAAGAGACTGATTAGACTACTGCTGATTATATTGCCATTTAGTTATAAATGATCTAACTTTATTAAAATGATATATATATTAGTATATATATATATATATATATATATATACACACAGTATATATATATATATATATATATATACACACACACTATATATATATATATATACACAGTATATATATATATATATATATATGTGTGTGTGTGTGTATGTGTGTGTGTGTGT